ACCTATATTATTATTTATTATCTATTTATTCTTACTAGTATTAATAGTCTAATCCTCTATAATCTCTTTATATTAATAAGATTAGTATTTAACCCCTACTATAATAAAATATAGTAGTAGAATAGTGCCTATAGTATTTATTATAATAATTACTATTACCTACTCTTAATTACTAGATTATAAAAGCTTTACTTAGGATCCTCTTATCTCTAATCTATAGATAACCTTAGCTATAGAGGTAATACCTATCTAGAACCTTATCTTATCTATATTATAAATATCCTATTTAAGAATACTATATTTCTATATAGTATTTTAAATTAGCTTAAACTATCTCTAGATTAACTTAGGATCCTTATATTTTATATATTAGTAGTTATATTTATAGCTATATTTTAACTAGATTTCTAGATAGTATTATATAAATTATATTATCTATTTCTTACTAATACTAGCCTATAGCTGTTATAATAGCTTTAATTTTATAAGGTAAAAAAGAATTACTAAATACTATATATAGGTAATCTAGAGTAGTAGACTATATTAGTCTATATCTAGAATCTATTACTTTAATATCCCTTCTTTAAGATCTAATAGTTTTTAAGAATTTATAGTTATTCTAGTATAAGGAGTGACTCTATTAAGCTATATTATAAAGGTTCTTAGAGGTATATTATATATAGTTATATAGGTAGTTTTTAAGTTAAATTAGCCTTAATAAAAAGCTTTAACTACTACTTTTATTTACTCCTCCTAAGATAGAGCCTCCATACTAAATATATACTGAAAAAAAGGCTTTAAATACAGCTATAATAACTTAGGGGCAGCAGCGGCAGTGACTATACAGCTCAGTATCCTACACAGCTTAGTATCTGATTACATTAGTTTATTTAGTTTATAAGGCTTATTTTATACTATTATAGAAAGCTCTACTATAATCTGTTCCTAGTATAGATTATAAGTAAATACTAGAAATAAATCTAGATTATTAAGCTAGTATGATAGTTATAAAGTCCTAATACTATTACTATATAAAGTTAGCACCCCCCTTAATAGTAGATAGTAAAATAACTTAATAGCTAACCTAAGATAAATCTATATTAGAGCTAAAAGCCTAAGTCATAATAAAATACTTCTATATAAGGCGTAGAAGATTAGTTAAAGTATAGGAACTTTATCTTCTTTAAGTTATTAAATAGAAAGGTATTAATAATCTATTATTAAAAAGGTATATCTAGTACAGTATGAGGATATGTAGATAATATGATATTTATAATAAAGTAATATATATATAGCTTAATATAGAGATAAATCACTAAGTTATTATTATTATATATATATTTACTGTTAACCCCCTATATAGGTTATATATTTAGGTATAGTTCTATAGGATTACTATCTATATGGGGCCTATATAGTAGAGTATAAGTATTAATAATATAATATTACTACTACTAGGCCTAATATTACCCCCCCTATTTAAAATAATTTTAACCTTATAATTAATAATACTTTAATAACTTTTTTTATTACTTAAATTTTATTAGCCTATTTAGATATATTATGTATAATTATATCCTAATACTAGGGATTATTAATTATAATAAAATTATTATATTTAATAGTTAATACTAATAATAATATAAATTATTAATTCTAATCTATTTATTATAGTATAAATAGAATTACTAATAATTCTAATATTACTTACTCTAATAGTATTATCTTAATCTACTTATTATAACATAATCAGACAATGAGCCGTCAGCAGTTAACTGCCGCCACCACTGAAAGGCATGTTTTAATAATGAATTTATTAAAATTAAAGCTTTTTAATACTATATAAATAAAAAATATATAGTTTTACTAGGTATTTAATCTAGCTAAATATTTTAAATAATTATGGCCTTTACTATAGTGACTGTAGTATAGTAACTAGTATATTAAATATACCTATTAAGATACCTAATTCAACTCCTCTTCTCTTTCTTAAGCTAATTTTTAAGCTTTATCTTAACCTTCTTAGCCTATTAAGGTGCCTCTTTTTAAAGATATTATTATAAGGCGTTTTTCTTATTCTACCTCTACTTATTAGTTATATAAAGCTAATATATCTCCTATTAAAATATAATAGTGTTTTCTATTACTATTTCTATACCTTTTATAACCTTTTTAAGAGTTTAGTCTATAATAAAGGATAAGAGGCCTTAATCTTTAAAGCTTTTAAGCTCTACTTTTTAATACTTAAGCTAGTAAAGATTTATTAATATTTTTCTAAGATAGAAAGACTAAAAGTTAGAAGATATAGTAGATAGTAGTATTAGTATTTTTATCTTAATTTAAAGCTTTAAAAGTACTCTTTCTAGATTAAATAGGATAAGACTAGCTACTCTAAAGTTACTAAGAATATTTACTATAAAGAAAGCTCTAATGTAATCTGACACCAAGCTGGCCAGGACACCGAGCTGGCTAGCTGGCCACCCCATTAAAATATCGCCGCCAACGCGTTTAAAATATATGAAATTAAAGCTATTTTCCCCACTAAATTCAGCATGGAGCCACTTTATAAGGAGGGGAGAATAAAGCTTATAATTAGGGCTTTCTAGAGAGGCTAATTTAAATTAAAAAAATATATATAAAGGTATTTAATATTACTCTAAGTACTTTTAAAATATATCTTAATAGTACTAATTCTTAGGATAACACCACTACTAATTCTTAAAAGCTTTTTAAACCTTAAAGA